TTTTTTAATATTCCATAAGCATCCGCATTTAACACTTTTAATTTTAATAAATTCCTCTTGAAAAAAAAATTAAGTGACTAGTATTTTATTTAAAAACACCTAATAACGGCCAACTTAAATGGAAAGTGTAATATTTTTAAAAAGGGTATTATTTATATAAAATATTATAAATAATAATATTTTAAAAATAAGGGCAACAAAATATATAATACTTACTAAAAAGTAAAATAGCGTCTTCGTCAGAAATATCACTTCTGATAAAATGATCTTTTAATTCTTTATTCAAAAAATATGAAAGACATAACCGCGAGTAAAAATTACATATTCAAAAAAACGTAAAGTCGAAACGACAACATGAACACTTTTATTTAGACAGCTTGTTCCATGATATCGCCATAGCAACCAGAAATCTATACCCTTTTCTTTTTCTTGTCGCCAGATTTCTAATTTAATCTATTATTATTGTTAACGCAACTGAATTACATACTACAGGTATAAAATATGTTTTATGATATACTGCTTTTGTTTTAAAAATATTGAAATACTAGCTTTTATTAGCTTTTTTTAGAGCTCGAAAAAATTCCGACACGTACACCAATTCCCTTTTAGTGATTTGATTCAATTACATATTATTAAAAAATATGTAAATTTCTCATTCTTATTTGTCAAATGGAGGCTTCTCTTATCTGGTTTCAGTAGTGACTCCATTTTAAATTAATAAAAGTTAAGAAAAAAAATTTATTTCTAACTATAAAAAAGTTAAAGTTTTTATGTTTATTTTCACGTTTTTGCTGTTTCTAATGACACTAGGACAAACCCAGCTAACAAGCCATTGGCCATACGAATTTGTCAGAAAAGAGCGCCTTCCGTTCGACAAGAGAGCACCGCTAGGGATAAAATGCGATGGCAGCACCACTGATGCCACTGCCACAATTTAGACGTAGATCTGAAATAGAAGAAAATTTTCTCCAGATCTCTGTCCCCACCGTAGCTGCTCAAAGGCCGAAAACAAGAAATTCAAGACTTTACAAGCATGCATATCGCATTTACTCGTTTGGTCTTAGTGGCTTTGAGAATTGAACCCCGGCACTTCCGGGTCCAGGTCCGATGATCTAACCTCTAGGCTATCACGGACCTATTTTTTGTCATAAAATTGCTCTGATCATCTGTTTTAATACTTATCAAATACTTTTCCATAAAGAAACTATCTGTTCAAAGATTTTTTAAAAAAAGGAAAAGAAAAGGAAAGAAAGGAAGTGTTAATTTTGGAACTTTTCTTAAAATGAGCGTTTTATAAGGAAGTATTTGAAATAACTGTATGATAATTTAACAATTTCCAGGGATACAAACCAGGTTCAATTTCTTTTTTTTTTTAAAAAAAAGGGGGGGGGGAACTGATTTCTCTCCAAAAGAAAACCGTTGGGCTGCAAAAATTGTTCACCGAGAGTACACAAGCAGAGGAATATTCAGTAACTTTATTAGATTTTAATTCGAAAGAACTGTGCTTGGAATAGAATTAATTTAGTTAAATCTAGTAACAAGACAGCTTCTGCAGGTTAAATCCCCCACGAAATCTACTCCCAAGATTAAAAAAAAGAAAAAAAATGAAAGTTTGCATTACGTATCTTGTTAATGCAAGGCAGTACAGTCACGGAAAGCTTTAGCTAGATTTTACAGTAGATATTTAATTGACAAAAAAAAAATATATTCTAAAACAATGTGACTTGGTGCAGAATATATAGTTGGAAATAATTATGCATTGTAAAGCTGGGGCATTGAAGATGTGTTATCCTGCAAATATTACGATAACTAAAAATGAAATTGAAGTACCATTGGTAACATATTTAACTGGGTGTTAGTATCCTTGACCCTGTTGTGAAAATAAATGTAAAAGCCTAAAAGATGTTAAGTTCTTTTCAATGCAGTTGTTTTGAGTATCCTAAGATTGTCAACTTATGTGGTGATGATTTTTTTTAAAAAGAAAAAGAAGAAAAAAGACGTTTAACGGTTACCTGATAATGATTTGAAGTTTGATGTTGATCACAAGAGTGATGATAACATGAGTGTGGAATGATATTTTATAAAAATTATGCACAATGCACCCATCTGACTAACACAAAATAATAAAAATAATAATCAGAGCATTTTTTCACAATTTGAATACTATAACTTAAAAGTAACGCTTATGTGTGACATTTAAGAAAGAATCATTAATCTCCTTAAAATCATTTCGGACCAGAACATCAAGTAGATTTATAAACTTTGTAAATTAATGATCTTGAGAGAATATTGAATCTTTGAAAAAGTAATCTTTAGAGAAAAAAAAACACGCTATACTTTAAGGTTTAATTTCGTGCTTTTCAAAGTAGAAACTTCATCTCCAGCATAAAAAATCATCTGAAACTCTATTTTTTTATTTTCCGTTACAACTATCTTTAAAAGTGAAGATTTATCAAAGCGTATGCACAAAGAAAATTTAATATAATTAATTTTTCCATTATATTAGAGATAGTAATAACGTATAAGAGAAGATTGTTGATAATAAACGACCAGAAATTTTTCTGAAATCAAGAAAGTGAAAATAATTACAGTCCTTTAAATTTCTGTAGCAATTATGAACGAGGAAAGAAAGATTCAAGTAAAATTAGCACAATGTATGGTACAGGCATTTCTGGTAAATAGGAAAAACTCCATAATTTTGGTAAAAAAAATTTCAATATTTAAACCATTCGGTAAGGCTTTACTGGAAATTCTGAATTTCAAAATTATTTTTCTTACTACCACATATTTTGCAAAAATACAATTTGAAAAAACAATTAACCAAGAAAATGTTTTGCTTTTGCCATGCTCTAAGACAATGGTCGGTAAAGTGCGTGTGGCTCTTTGGCTACTTAAGTGCGGCTCTAGCACAAATATCCACGGAAGGCGCAATAATATTTTCATTTTAAAAAAAAACTTGGTAAGAAAAAAATTTACATCTTATTTTGATAAATTAAAATTCTTCTATAAATCGAGAACATGTATAAGTTTTTGTTTAAGTTGAAAGATGGATAGGTAATTAAAATTCTATATTGTGACCTGGAGAAAGAAGAAATGATCATCTTCAAAGCTTGGAATAATATTCCTGACTATTACGATCAGCTGAAAAAGCTCGCGTTTGCTGTTCTTTCCCTTTTCGGTTCCACATATATATGCGAACAATCTTTTTCAAGCATGAACATTATCAAGAGTAAACTGAGAAGTCCTCTTATTGATGAGAACTTGGAATCACGCCTAAAATTAAAAACAACAACATACAAACCTGACTTACTTAAACTTTCCAAGGAGATGCAAGCACATTGTTCGCATTAATAAATATTTATTAAGTATGAAATTTAGTTTTATTTAGTGTACTACTTATTTAGCGTAATAAAAATTTATTAAACAAGCAGATTTGGCAATTTTTTCCCAATTTTTTTTAAAATTGTTGTAATGTTCATATTTGGCTCTTTGGCTAATAAGTTTGCCGACCACTGCTCTAAGATATCATGATAAAACTTCCAAATTTTACCACATTTGTCATATTTTATCATTTATTATAAAACCACCTTTTATTGTTAATTTATTCAAAATCATTACTTAAGGTCTTCAAAAATACTGTGCTTTTTGGTGTTTCCTGTTACCATAGAACTGGAAACACGGTAAATTTTAACATATTTGGATAGATTTGACCAGACTTTTTTCTCATCGGAGCATTAAGTAAAAAAAAGCAGTTAAAATGCTGTCGTTATGAAAAACTGTATTTATGATTTTGTAAAGAATTTTTCAGACAACGAAGAAAAAATAAAAAGCTAAATAAAAAGCCAAAAAAAAAAAACTGAATTGTTGATAGGCAGTAGGAAAAGTAATTATTTAAATAAAAATAAACTACCATCGAACCTTAATTTTCACAAATCTGAAAAGTAATTTGAAATCAAAATTTTTTTAAACTATTTCTTGAGAATAGGCACGCTTGAAAAAGGACAAGTTTAGTAAATTGTGAAACGACTGCAATTACAATGTTCGTTAACAGAGTTTAACCTTTAAAGAAGCGACTCGTTGACTAGTTTAACGAACCGTTGAAAACAAAAAATATTGACATTGACTCAAAACTTAGTCGAAAAATTAAACAAACAAAAAGAATCTTTTCTTTGTTTAGATAAAGATGGAATATATTATTATATAAATGAAATATTAGATTATAATTTCTTGAGGTTATTTATGAATAATGCTTAGTTTTTATAATGCTCTTAGTTGAATTTGAAGAATTTAGAGAAAATTATACTATGCAAATTTTTGACCTATAAGAAATATTTTCATACTCGTAGTTTAATCAAATTTAGTTTTTGACTCTTTATTTTATCAGCTCAGAGTGCGAATTTACTCAGAAGACATAGCGCTTGCCTCAATTATAGGCAGTGTTTCAAATTACGGCGGTAGGCGGATCAAGCAGGTCTTCTGTGTCTATTTTCTGCATTTTCTTTTCATGTGATGCAAATGAGAGAGAGAGAGAGAGAGAGAGAGAGAGAGAGAGAGAGTCAGGCTTTGTAAACTTACTGGAACCTGAAAAGTAGAGAGAGAGAGAGAGAGAGAGAGAATAATTTTTTGTGAAAACTAGAAAAAAAAAATTTTTCACGGAAAAAATACAAATAGCTAACTTAAATGAAATGTACGGTGATTCTCAATTTAACGCGAAGACATCTGATGTGATTTTAATTTAAGAAAAGAACTACAGCTTTGAATGCATTAAGATAATTAGATAATTACACAATTTTTCTTTCAATTTTTACACGAGTGATCGAAAAATTGATCAAATCCGTTTTCGCTAAAAAGCATTTCATTTCACTAGTATGTAATTTATTACATTCGAGATAAAACGTGAATAATTCAGCAGTTCTCGAGGAAACTATTAAAAAATAGGCACAGGTTTAATTTAAAGAGAGTGAAAGGAATCATTCATCAAAAAAGGGGTAATTAGTATTTGGGGAAAGGAAGAAGAGCGCATGCGCGATGTCAAGTTAGGAAGTGAAGATTATTTCCCTAAGGAAACGAGGGATCTTTAGCTTCAACTTGGCTTAATTTCGCGGCACTTCCAATGAGATTTAAAACAAACTGCATTACAAATTGAACGGTAGTTAAAGGAGATGGAATTCTTGGCGGGATCTTTAGAGCGGGCGGGATACCTCTTTTATCTAGTGGATCCTCGCAAACACAACTACGAGAAAATTGAAGATGTTAAAGATTATTATAAGGAGGTATGCGGTTTCTATCTTATTATCATTTTGTATTTTCTTTTTGTTTCTAGTTAATTCTTTTTCTATTTTTTATTTCTTATTCAATTTTCAATTTCTCATTCTATTTTCTATTTCTCATTCTATTTTCTATTTCTTATTCTATTTCTTATTCAACTCCCTATTTGATCTGTCTTCGGTTTCCAATTTTCTATTTCTTATTCTATTTTCCATTTGACCTATCTATTTTTTTAATTTTCAATTTAATATTCGTTCGAAATAAAGAAAAATTAATTTATAACTAGTCTTCTTAAAATATCCATGCATACTTTTTGGTTTAAAATATTTGCTTTACTTAATATAAATTTGCCTTAACCGATATATCAAAAGAGGAAGAAAAAATGGCACCAGTATGTATTGTGGATTTTATAGCTGAATATACCCTCTGTAGCAAGGAAATAGTAGCTGAATACCCTCTGTTTGCAAGAGGTGAATTAAAAAAAGAAAGAAAATAAGTGAAAAATCAGTATTGAGCCACACTACAAAATCATACTCAATCTACACAATACCTACTCATACCTACACAATTGAAGAGCTTAGTGGAAGAACCTGGGAAGTGACATTTCTAGGGGAATTAATGTATCAAGGAAAAAAAACATATAGTGGTTATATCAGTATAGGTATGTTTAATAAGAATTGTTTTTGCTTTCACTTTAATCTTAGCATAACTAATTGACGTTAGTTTTCAGTATGCTTGCATAATTTTCATTTTAAATTAGCGCAGTGAAATAGAATAAAGCAAAGAATTCCCGCTTTCTTATAAATGGGCAATAAAATAGTACGGATACCTCTTAATATTCGAACTCTTATTACAGCCCCTCTAAAAATGTCACATACCTGGTTCTAACACTAAATTTCCTCCATTAATTAAGCTAAGATGATTTAAATTTTTTTTATTTATTATTATTTGTCGTCTTTTTTGACGACATCATGTTATTAAAATAAGGAAAATTCATTTTTATTGTTTCATTCCATCAGAATAGAGATTAACTGTATTTAGCACCACTTTGCATGATATTAATGCTCGCGGCATGATCGAAATATACCACTATCAAGTAATTTTCTCCAATACATATACCTTTAGAGGGGCCGTAAAGCATTTATTTCCACAGTATAGGTGTTAAAACTACTTAGTATTGGTACAGTTTTTAATAATCACCAAATATATCTGTATATTACCTTTATTAGCACTTATACCTTTATTAGTATATTTTGTACTTAAGATATTTAAGCGCGAATCGCATTGGTCAGCGGCAGCAAACTAAAATGGAAATTTCAAAAACAAATAGAATTCTTATACGATTTTGAATTGGGAGCATGTCCATATCTCTATCTGACCTTTAATTTATTGTCTAAAATATTTATAAGTAGTGAAATTTCTTTGAACTCTACTTCATTAAAATAGTAATGCACTATATTTACTACCAGTGGAAAAATTATTTGCCGAAACTACGGATAACTTGTTTTAGAATTCGTAACAAAATTGCACCAATAACCATAATATCATTATTACATATTACTGAAATTAATTAAGTGTCATTAGCGTATGTCGATTTCGTACGGTTTCCTTAAATGAATTTTATGTTCTATAAGGAAACTGATATTAAGTCAATTATAAAAAAATTCACAAATTTTACATACTCAATTAGGTATGTATGATTTGCTTATTAGGAACTGTTTTTTCCTCGACACTTCCGATTCGGATCAACCCTCTGACTCAGATCGACCCCCGCTTTTGTTAAATAGACCCCTAGGGTCTATATGGACCACTTTGGCTACCTCTGCAATAAACATACCTTTTTTATTCCTTTTTCTGACTCAGAAAATATAGGGGGTAGCCGCAATCTGGGAAATATGGTGCCCATAGTTTGATCCAAGAGAGCGGTCCAAAGTTCGGATCCCTTAATGCCTATTTTACTTTTTGCGTATTTCGCTATATCCCGAGAACTTTTCAAGTGATTTGAAAAAAATTTGCACACTATTTGACAAATTTCGTTAATTTTTTTTTTCTTTTTGCATCTTAAAATTACCTTCTTAAAAATGATGTAAAAATTTTTATATTTTACAATTCGTATTTTTTTCGACTATTATTAAATGAAATTGCAAAAAAGTAATAAAATTTAATAAAAATTGCTTTTTATGGAATTATCTTTTGATAAATTTATTTTATAATTCTGTGTAAAAATTATATTTTAAATATTTTCTTCGAAAACAATTAAAAAAATATACAGTAAAAATAATCTTTTAAAGTAATATGAGTTTTTTTAAAACTTTGCACATTTTTTAAAGGTTGCTCCCGTTTTCTTCGTCACAGTGCTTCTTGAACAAGTCATACGATATTTGCAAAAGAAACCACTTTTAAGAGTCAACGAGACTATGTCAAATGTTCTGCATGGACTTCTCACAGATTTAGCTAAGTATGGTTTTGGTTTATTCAATAAGATTGCTTCAATATCAAAATAGTTTATTTTAACAAATAAAACAATTTTAATAGTTTTTTCAGAGATGCAACCTATAAATTAAAAATAGTACAAGCAGAATATTTTAGTTTTTCTGAAATTCAGTACTGAAGTGTACTATCTCCAGATTTAAGTATTTTGATCGTCTATAACGAAGACTGAAAAAGTTGTTTTTCTTCGAGAAAATCAGCTAAATATATACATTAAACAATATTTACTTTGCTAATAAATGTAAAATGGAATTATTTGTTAGGCGTCAATTTCTGCAATTACAATATGAATCAAAATTACGCATACAACTTCAACACGGTATAGCACAATTTTAAGTCATTGTGCTGTTTTCTAAAAGTATATAAGCTTATAAAAATGTTTTAATGAAAAGAGGGAGACATATTAAATCAAATTAAATGTTATGTTAGGTCCTCTATCAATTGCTCATAAAATATTCCAGTTATAATCCAGTTCTCTTCAAGATGTTATGTAGCTATCGGCATTGGCTTTATAATATATTTTTAGAATTTTCGTCATAAAGTAAAAAAAGTAAAGATGATAAGAAATAAATAAGAAAAATTTAAAATCAAATATTACATCCTACCACCAACATGTGTACGAAAGTTGTTGCGTTATCTAATATGGTACTTATGCACACAAAGCTGCTAAAGGCGTTCAAGAATGGTGTAAATGAAATTATCCCGACTTTTTTTTACCGAACCAGAATTGCCACCTTATTCACTAGATTTTAATCCAATTTTCGCTAAGGACTAATGTTTGTGCTACATCTCATAAGACTTTTGCAACCATTAAAAGGTTGCGCGAAACAATGGGACAAAATAACAGTAAAAAAAGTGTCGCATCCCGTAGCAGAAAATTTTGGGATACTGCGAAAGCTCCACATCACAAAGCTGAAGTTAATCACATAGGAACTTTCTGTGAATACTTTACAAGTAGAAATGTTTTCATGCTTGTTTGAAAATTGAGTTGTGAATGAAATGCGTCCAGGGTATTTTCTCCCCTTGCATAAATATAGAATTTTTCGTCACTTTCAGGAGGGGTATTTTAGTATGAAACAGCTGCAATTTCTGTAATTATTGACCTGTCTTGATTCTTGTTTTTCCCTAACTTTAGTAATGAAGTTCGTAGGCCTACGAGAGCGCTTAACGGACAGCATGCAAGTATTTCATAGAATACTAAATTAACTTGACCTGTGTTTTTTTATTATTTTGCCTCGGAAAAAGAAATTTTTTACTTTGCTTAAGGATTTATGAGCAAAAGAACTTTGCCTAATTATGTATTTTGCCTAATGTTGCCTAATTTTGTATTTGTTTTTAATTCTGTGTGAAAGTTGAAAAGATAATAGTTTTTTATCATTAAAATAGTTTTCAGCCTTCATATTTTTAAGTTTTATTCATTATTATGTAAATAGTTTTTCATTATTAAAATTTGTAAGATTTCTGTAAAATAATGTAATTTACTAAGAAAGGTGTTGCCAAATGCTTTAAACATTTATTTTTCTTTATAGAATTCCGTTTAGAGGGGTCGAAGTTTTTGTGTATACATGGATTTATAAGAACTATAGATTGATAGAGTTTCCTTGGAATTCCCCATGGACTTGGCTTTTGACCTATCTTTTCACGGAGTTTTGCTTCTATTGGATGCATCGATTAACTCACCGTAGGTATAATAATAATTCTTTAACTTTATTAGGTTGTTCTTATCTTAATTTTATCAAAGTTTTTATTAATATTTAATTTAACATATAATAATCTTGACATTTTTTTCTTAGTTTCTAACGAGTTTTTTAAAACTATTTGTCAGGATTGTATTTAATTTAAGTAAAATTATACTTATGAAACAAAGGTAAATCAAATGGAATACTTTAAAAAAAAAAATTTGGAATTATATTTTGTAAAAAGACTTTTTTATAATAAAACTCGTTTAAGGTTTTAATATAATTTTTTCAAGATGCCCTTAATGAAACGCCTTATTTAATATATAATATTTCGTGACATGAAACTAAAATCAGCAAATATTGAAACCAAACAACATCAGAGTTAGCAAATAATTTATAATCAAAACTAATATTATATCGTAAATTTCCACAAATACTCAGTTGTATCAGGTAAACATTTATTATAGTTGGAATGAATGGATGTTTTTGTTCTCCGAAAAACTGATTTATCTGAATTTTTTGAACTTAAAATCCTATTTAAAAAATAACTGCAGCCTATAGTGGCCAGCTGGTTCGCTTTTTTCAAATAAGTACAATTTTAAGTATCTCAAAATTTAAAATCGCTTGCTCAATAATCCAGACAATATATAAGTATAAATTCACGTTGCCTAATTAGCAGTGATTTTAGTTTTTACTTAATATGTTCACACTTTCATATATTGATTGCTCTGAGTTTCTGCTTTGACAAAAATTTCGTCTCCTATTTCTTCCAGAGAAAAAGTCTAGTCTTCATTCTAGTTTCGTCAATCTAGTTAATAATCTCCCCCATATCCCACAATAAGGTTTCGAGTTGAGGAAACATTTTCGTCATATATTTGAGAGTTCGCGTTTTGTCATGAATCACGTGATTTCGTGACGAAATAATTCTTAAAATTAACAAAATACAACTCTGAGGTTGTTGAACCATCAAAAGTGAGAGTTTTACTTCTGAGAGTGCGAGGATATGGAAGCAAATCAACAGCGTTGTTGAAATCAAATTGCACATTTACTTTTTTTTAAACGATTACCGTTGTGTTAGCAATTAAAACCTTCTTCAGCGGACAATAGATTTTATTTATAGAGTTTTTTCCGTCAAAGCAAAACGAACGCTTATTATTATAAATTCCTCCAAGTTACAAGAATTCTCGGTCCTAAAACAGTTAGTAATAACTTTTAAAGCAGAAAAAAATATGTAAAAATAAGAGAACTAAAAGACAGCATCACTAAGTAAATGAGTTTATGTAAAAATAAATAAAATTAGTCAACACAATCCTCTTTGTTATTGGTAATCAAAATGAATTTTTGATTATCAACCAGCTTTGATTTACTTCTTTAAAATCAAATATTTTCTGCTATTAGAAATTTTTCTTTTCTTAATATTTAGACACCGAAGTTGAGTCTTAAAATGTGATGTACTCAAACAAATAATTTATTTAAGTTTAGTTTATTTAGTCTTTGTTGCCTCTAATTTCTTTTAAAAAACATGGAATTTCTTTGTATAAATTTTAAGATCAAGTGTAATTGTACAAAGTTTGAAATCTAGAAATTTGTGTTTGAAAAATAATGTTAAAAAATGTAATTATTTTTGGTATTTGACAACAGAGTGGTTTGGTATAAGTTTAATAAGTTTAAACGCGTCGAAATTGAAATTCCGTTTTAAGGGAATAAGAATAAACATATTTATGTTTAAAATTACATATTCTTTAATTTTTGATAACTTGTGTCAGCCTTCGTGTTCGTTTCGATCACGTATTTTTACTTGGAATTTCAACTGTATCATTAGTGTGCTTTTTAGGTATTACTTTTTGTCCGGAAATTTCGCCTTCTATTTTTGCTTAAACATTTCGTAAATATGCAGTTTTCAAAGCAGCTCACGCTGAACTAAATGAAATACGCGTTTTTGCAAGATTGCATGAGTATGGCTCAACGTAGAAGGAAGAAAAATATCGCAAAATGATAAAAAAGGAATAGCCAGCCACTCAAAAGATATTAAGAAAGGTTTCATGTACAAGTACAACAATGAAATTTCGCACTTTCGATGCTGTGATCACACTATCTGAAGCTAGAGAGGGGCGATTGCTTACAAATCTTGACTCGAAGCTCTTTACGTCTGGAAGTTGCATGAGGCTGGAATTTCTGCTCTTCACCATCTCCTGTCTAGTGTGATCTCTCCCGCAACATTCCAACTTGTCCAATTAAATTGGGTTTTTTTCCTTGGTCACCATACTTTACCATGTTATTCTCACTTCCTTTTTTCATAAGGTGACCAGGTCAATGCGATTCTCTAGTTTTCTTTGGCATATTTTCTAAATATAGTATATCCAATCTAGTTTCATCGTCTTATAATTATTGATGGCTTGGTACAGGATTTATGGTATAGATCCTCATTGCTTTTCTTGTTTATCTAGCACATTTTCAATATTTTAGTTAAACCTTTTGCTTCAAAGGCATCTATTTTGTTTCCTTGCTGCCTTGTTAGTTTCCAAGTTTCACGGTTGTACAGCAGAACAGACTTCACAGTAGCATTGAGTATTTGTATTTTTTACATATTCAAACATTGCGATTTACAGAGCTTGAAAAACATCTTGAAAGTTTAGAACATTTTTAATCCTGCACTTGATGTCTTCGTCAGTACCAACCATGCTAACTAACAATTTTTCCAAGGTATATAAACGTATTTGTCTTTTCAGTTTTCTTTGAATTAATCAATAATTCGCCCTTTGTTCAGCAATTTAATTTTCTCACATTTGTTTTTTACTCATTTAGTTTTAGACAAATTTTCTTATTAACTGGTCTTCAGTTTTTTCTTGAAGGTCCTTAGCACTTGACTATGGTATCGGCAAACTCTAAATCCTCAAGGCAACTATTGAAGTTCCATCTTGTGTCTCTGTTTCATTGTGGTAGTCGATACTATGAAAATTTGCAAATAGTAGAACAAAACCCTATCTTAATCGGAGCTCTAATTTTTGAGTTATTAAAGAACATCAGTACACACCTACTTTTGCTTTTATAGAGATGCACTTAAAATTTCTTTATATACAGGAACACAATTTTCTCATTTTTTTTAAAAAATATTATATTATAAACAATGCACATGGTATATGTTAAATGCATTGAAATATTATTTTATGATTGTTTTCAACAGACGTCAATATACTGTGGGCCATACACGAAACCCATCACTCACCAGAAGATATGATGCTTTCATCACCCTTGAAAAATCATATTCTACTCATTCCCACGCATTGGGTAAGTAATACAATTTTTCGATAATTTTAATATAACTTAAAATTTCTTAGATCATATTATTTAAATAAAAGTACCTATACGTCATTTGAATAAAGACATAAAAATTGTGTTCGAAACAACAAAAACGAATAATAACATTCTTAACGAAGTAATAAAATAAGAATTATGTTTAAACTGCACTATTGAGTCTTTAAAATCGGTTTACATGAGAATCTACTGGAAATCATTTTTGAGGAGTTTAATGCAAAATTATAGAGAATTAGAAAGAAATTTTTAAAATGAACTAGTTTTAAACACCAAACAGGAAATCGCTACCTAAACAGGAATATTAAATGATTTATGTCTTCCCACTTTCTCAAAAGGAGCAATTTTGTTCTACCGCCTCAGAGGAGAACACCGGAGTCCGGATACCACATTTTGGTCACTTTCTACATCAATGCAAGCGTGCGCTCATGAAATGAAGGTCTCGTGAGAGAGAAATAAATTTCCCTTTTACTATGGATGTAACTGTTCTTATTTGATAAAAAAAAGTTATGAAAAATTCGCGAAAAAAAAGCTGTTGCAATAACTTTAATAATTGCAATAACTTTCAAGCAAATTGGAATTCTGGAATAAAAATCATGCTAAGTTCATAAATAAAAATGAAAAAATAACCCTTTCAGCACGTCAAATTTTAAATTTTTTTGCTGCAACATCTGTTAGAAGCTGAGAGACCTTCATTATATGTTTTACTACAGATTTAACTTATAATAAGTCTCAAACTAACCATCGTATGTTAAAATTTTTTATTCCACCATAGTACTGGATACAGGGACAATCCCGTACTGATCGTAGGATAATACCGTACTGATCGTTCAGTGGAATGATTGTTAACACACGGTTCCCAGTAGAACACCGAAATCAAGCATCACTGGCTGCGGTCAGTAAGCGGGTGGGTGACCACTTTGATCAGCATGCGTAGGGGCCGAGGGTTCACGGTGTCGGTCCTCATTAAACTGTTCTACCGTAAAGTGCTCGACTTCACACTCAGGTCATCAGGGGAGTCATCCCTTCAGCAGAGGATTAAAATTACGATGGCATGTCTTCGGATCATCCTCAGGGATGTTTCCCAGACAGTCGACAATAACCCATTGTGCAGCTCTAGTGCGACGTAAATAAAGTACCTACCTGCTTTTTTCTATACACGTTCATTATTCCAAAATTTTAAGCTATAGATTTTGCGCAACAAAATAAAATGTAATGTAGAGATATTTTGTTATTACGTTACAACCCAAAGAGCTAAGTCTCAACAGATATAAACCAATGTCAAACAGAGGAACATTCATAACAGTGTCTGTCGTCATCCGCAGCGGAGCGGAGAAAAATTAGTAGTGCTTTAAATAAGAAAATGTAATACTAAATACTAACACTTGAATATAATAAAATCTAATACTTGATAAAATTGAACCATTAGGAAGAAATAGTTTTAGAGACATTGCCATTTTTTTAAATCTAGGAATTATTTTTCCAAATTAAAATTTTTTAAAGACCTTATGTATTAAATTGTGAATGTGAGTATATAGTAATTTTTAAATATATGCATAAAAAGTTTTAAATTAATTTTTTTTCAGTTCACGTATCTTCCTCTTGCTTTAGCAATTCCACCAACAACTTATTTTGTACACTATCAGTTGACTATCATTTATCAGTTCTGGATTCATACAGAAGTAAGTCAGTCATTTATTATTTTTATTATCATACTTATTTTTGAAAAATAATGTATTCGCAAAGAACATTAACCGAAAAAGAATTATTTTAACACATGAAATGAAAGCTCTAAAACAAAGTGTATACGATTCCTATGTTTTGTTTCTTATTGTATGATTTTGGAAGATAAAAAATTTTTTTGGAAGTAACATTTTGTACTGCACGAATTAAACTGTAGTGCATAATATTATTCTATCATTCTAAATTGTGTAGCTCAAGTTTATTATTATAATAGTGCTATAAAACTACTATAAGTACTAGCTCATATATATATTTTTTTGCTTTTAAATTAATTTTTACAACTTTTGCTAATTTTTACAGCTTTTGAAAAACTTTTGAACTCTGAAAGCCTATTACAAACTGTAATTACAAATTTTTAATTTTAAAAAAGCCGTATTACGTATTTTTAATGAGTGTATATCATTGCACGAAGTTCACATTTGAAATAAAATTTTTAGATTAAAATACCATGTATAAATTTTAATATTTATAGTTGGTGTATAATAATAATATCATATAAATTTAGCTTTAGAGCTGAGCGATATTCCACGGTGCATCGAAGTTTTCATTTCTTTAATCTCATTTATTTTTTCAGGTCGTTGCCAAATTACCAGCACCTATAGAATTCTTTCTTAATACACCGAGTCATCACCGAGCGCATCATGGTAATCTTTATTTTTATGTTTTTCAACCATATTTTATTGTACAAAAATAGTAGCTTAAATAATGTTTAAACAAGGTGGAAAAGTCGAGGGATTTTTATGAATTTAGAAATATAAGAGAAATGTCAGGGAATTCAAGTAAAATATCCCGAATGTCATGAAAATGAATGAATCTGTATTTTAGGTTTTAAAGTACGAAAAAGTTCGATATTTTCCCAAAAAATATGGGTCTTGTAATATTTTTTAAATTTTTATTTTTATTTTTAACTGCAATGACAAATATAAATGTTTTGTTTTATTGTATCCAAACGATATATTTTATGTTGTGATAAACGTAATTACATTGTATATTTTATACTAAAATATATTCTATATCATAATATTTTCAATACATTTTATGTATAACTGGAAAACCAGCATACAATTTATGACAGTGGTTACAAAAATCAAGAAAAATTATTAAAATCACTTAAATTGAGGTAAAGTTAGAGAATATTTTTAGAGTTTGTGGTCTGTCTATTAACTTTGGCACTAATGCAAAGTTATAAATAAAGGATTTAAAAAACTGTTTCTAAAATACCATCCAATAAAAAAGGGAGTACAGAAATTAGAAAATTTCAATTAAACTTGATAGGAGCCTGGTTTTTTTATCCAGAATTTTCTGAATTTTGTATCTCATAGCGTAAAATGTATGTTAAATTATTTACAAATACACCAAACAAGCAATTATATGTGTTGGATCCTATTACATCAAAAGAGATAAAAGATTATAGCATTCGTATAATTTCATATTTTATAATTTCGAGTTTTGCAAAAGCTTTTAAAGATTTTGGAAATTTTCATTTTAAAATTATTAAAAAGTTAATCATTCTCATTCAGGTGGTAATTTCTTCACCAATAAATAAAATTTTGAAAAAAATATTTCTTGCACTTTTTCATTTTCTTCTTTCTTCTTCTTCTGTTATTTAATAACCTTAAATTTTTGAAATGAACGAAGTTGTTGTTTTTTAATCTGAGCGTCATGCTCAAGCTTTCGTATCAGGTGAGCTTTTTTTCTATTTTATGAAAGAAATTGTTCTTATTAAGAAATATAAATTCAAACCTAGTTTAACTTATTTAACTTTCTGCAAGACATATCTGTTTTCCTCAGTTAATGACTAAGAAAACACTGTTCAGTGATAAAGCTTTTGTATAATCATTAAGTAGTACGGCAGTTTATCCTAACAAAACTTAAAATTAATACCTTAAGCATCGATTGGCTTTTTACTCTAATTGAAATGATTATTTTACCCTGAAAATCTAAACTATGCAAGTTTTTATGTACAAATCAGTAAATTAAAACGAAATGTCTTTATTATAGGTCGGAATCGACGTTACATAGACAAAAACTTCGGTGGCTCTCTTATTATATGGGATCGCATATTTGGCACGTTCGAAGCCGAAGATTCAATAGAGAAACCTCTGTATGGTTGTACTACTCAGATGAAATCTTTCAATCCTTTGATTGTACAGGTATGCATGCGTAAAATATTGATTTTAAATTCCTCATTATTAATATTTCAAGTAAATATGTTATTATAATTTCTCATTATTTAATATATACAATATAATTTCTCATGTATTTAAATTTTGCTCATTTTTAATAATTTGTCAACTATATAATTTAATACCATTAAATAATTTGTCTTAACTTAGAGTTGAAACAAAAATTAGTTTTTTAAAGAAGCAAAATTTAGAGTTTGTGAGTTTTCGGAATGTTTTTTTTTGTAACTTTTGTAATTTTAATTATAAGTCTAATAATAGTATAAAACAAACATGAATTGCTTTTTTGAACATCAAATTATTTTAATGCAGCTGCTTGCAAGTATTTTATAATTTGAAACTAAATTTTAAAACATTTTGAAATAGACGTAGAATTTGATTACATTTGTGTGTGTAATTTAAATGTATAATTTTTCAGTAGTGTTTTCATCGAGAAAGATAAGCTTAAGTATGAAATATTTTCATTTCTGTGTTCAATGCTTTCCTTAAATAAGGAAAAAAATATTTTCATTTCTGTGAATGAAAATATTTTTTTCCTTATTTAAGGAAAGCATCCTTCTTACTTAAAGAACTATGTATTAAATGCTATTATGCTTACTTTAAGAATTATGCACTCAATATTTTTCATTTAACGTTAAATAAATAAAAAAGAAAAATAAATAAAAAAATAAAAAATGAATAAATTAATTAAAGTAAAATAAAATAAAATGAAACAAACAAAATAAAATAAGTTAAAAATTCCCTGGATGAAAAATATATTGGTGTTTTAGAATTGTTTCTGGAAAAGTACTTTAAAAATAAATTCAGTAAAAATTAATGTTTAGTTAAACTATTTAAAATTAAGCTATATTGTTTAGCTATATTATAACGAAAAAACCATGAATGCAAAATAATATGGTTTTTATAGCCATTTACAACTAGAATTGCTTCAAAACCGTATAAATGACGTTCAATTGGACATTGGAGTTTGGTTGTGGTCTTGCTTTGTCAAGTGAACCGAGGAACGTATGACTCAAATCCGTATACCTTGTAAGGTCATCTATCCTGATGAGAAATACAAGACTTTTTTTGTGTTAAACAGCTCTGTAGTGTTGCCATCGATGCGTGAATGCGTAAGTTTCGTATTCCAATAGTTTATGACTCCTAATGTGTAGATTAGAAGAAGTTGGTGCAGCTCTTTACTTATGGCAACACTAAGCATGTTTTCACTATTAGCGTGAGGATAGTCATAGGGAAAGAAATACGTTAGTTTCTGTCTTGATTTTTAAATCGATTAAACTTTTTTAAGCTGGGAAGCTATATGAAACTCAACACTGTGCTCACTCACATTAAACACGGTGCTTAATTTGAACAGCATGAAAATTTTAAAACATATTATTGATAATCTAAACACGAAAAATAGTATGGAAGGGGGAAACATCGTAATACATTCCCATACACTTGTGCAGAAAAGGAGGCAGAAGGAGGGAGACCTCAATGGTGGTTGTCTCCTCAAATGGCGTATTCGAATGTTGCGATCGCGAATAATTCGCTGGTGATTCAACCCCTGTTCAGCTGGTCATGAGATTGACAGATTAGTCCTTTCGGCTAAAGTATGTACTTTTCAGTATAACTGGCTTCATAAGGTGTTACTACAAACTAATTACTATGAAATTATTAGGTATCCGAAAGTTCAAAATGATAATATGAATTTGTAATTGTTATAATATAAAAGAATTATTAAATTTCAAAGGAACGTTGAATTTTATGTATAAGAAACACAGAATTTTAAAAATGAAAACCAAATTCACAAATTAATATTTTCTTACTTTTAGATGATACTATTTCATTTCTTTTGCTCGTTGGTTAGCCCTTCATATACTTTAAGTATGGGATATACCTCCATATACCTTAATGACGTACTTAACAGAAAATAAATGGTGGGGTAACATTAGTTTCGATCATGATTAAAGTTTGTTTTTTCAAGGTACTTTCTTCGCTTCCAGACAAGACAGTTTCAAAACATATGGAAAAGATTTTGTGAAATGGAGAAATGGAGTGATAAACTCTCTACTATATTTAAAGGACCAGGATGGTCTCCAGGCATGCCATGGACAGGAAATTTGGAATCCGTACCACACGTAAGTTATAAGAGGGAACACAACATTATTTTTTTTTATTCCTTTTGGTATTTCTTAAAGCTTATAGTATGGAATAGTATGACTAAAATGAAATCTTTCTGCTTTTAATTATTAAAAAAAATATTTTTCATGCTTTTAATTTTCAAAACTTGTCATGTTTCAATACATCCATATTTTAAGAGCTTTGGTTTATTGATAACATTTTGTTACTTTTCATTTATGCTAAAATCTTTTTGCTTGTTTCTAGCCTACTCCTCACTTTGAAAAGTATGATCCACAACTACCAAAACTGATGAAATATTACTCAATGGTTCATTTTGGAGTTTTAGTAAACACCTATTTATTTCTTGCAGTGAATATGACAGTAAGCACATCCATTAATTACATGTGTCTAACTTCCTTTAGATTTTGCTTTAATGAGTGATTTTATTTCTTGTATAATTTTAATTTCTAAAATAATAATCTAAAGCCATAATATGCATTAAATTGTAATTGTTATTCCCCTAAGTGTTTTCAATACCGACAAAACATTCGCTTTGCACAAACTCCGTGCATTTTACAGCAAATGCTCTATTTTTTTTTAAATAGATGTTAATAAAATCAATCAAAGAACTATATTTTTCTTATAAGTTCGGCAGGAATGTATTTATTCATATTGCATCATATTTCTTTCCACTTTTAATACACCAATAAAGGTATTATTTATGTCTATGAACGAAACTGAGTAAACAATATACAACTGAAATGTCACTAAATTGAATTTAAAATATAAAAGTAAAGCATTCCTCCAACAGCCCGCTGTCATCGAGGATAAAACTCACAATTTCGTGACTATCGACAAATTGGTGGCAATGGGAGTCAGTATTGTGGTCCGATCATCTTTAAATTATAATACCATTCGACTAACAAAGTACAATATGTTAATTGTAACAAAATGAAAATTTACATAACGTTAAGCAATGAGCATGTAGAATATACTTATACACTTACATAAAACAAGTATTATTACCTTATCACTCTTATTTTTGATAATCAGAATTGTTTGGTTCGCATTACATTTTCTAATGACTTACTGGATATTTTTTAAACAAAACTAGGAGTAGGATTAAAGAGAATATTCTATTCATATGCATTGAGAGAAAAAGTATCATCAAATTTACCAGATTTTGATGAAATGTACCACATTTCCGTCTTCACTAAAAAACTCGGTAGTTTTTAAACAAGTGCTTTGGAAATGACAATTGGTAAAATTAAGAATAAAACATGGTTTTATTAATATGCAGTTTAGTAGGGAATGAAGTAAAATTTAATGATTTAATCATGATATCTTAAAGAAGGGCATAAAACCATTTAATTTTCAGTTTTGAATTCGATAAATGATCAAGCTCTTGCTTATATTACTTTCAGTTTTTCTCCATGACAACTGTTAACATAATAGCAGCCTTTATAAGTTATTCCTGCATTTCCTTGGGATTCATACTTGATAATAGGTAAGTTTAAAAAAAATAATAAAAATGAATTTTTTTTAAGCTTTAATTTATGAACAATGTAGCAGTTAAAAATAATGTTTCTTGGAGAAATTTAGGTATTTTTAATACTTTTGTGATATTTGTATTTATATAAATTATTATATAATTATATTATAAATAACACCTACTTTAACACAAAATTTAAAATTTCAAGCTATTAAATTTCCCACACATTCTTTGTTAAATTAACTAATAATATGCTTTTTGCCTACTATTATTAGCCTACCTATTATTCATTTATTTTTTTAGAATATTAATCTACTATTCATTTATTTTTGTGTCTCTCTGAAAAAAAAACAGCTTTGACAATTTATCTTTCATCTTGATATTCTGCAGATTTGTTTAATGACGAATGTTATAATCGGAATAATTTTTTATGCAGAAAGCAATGCGTAAAAGAACTAAGAAATTTTATGAGAAACACATTATATGTATGTCTATTAATAATTTTTTCCAGCGAGAAAATTTTATCATAAATTCTTGAAATATTTTTTTCGATTAAAGTATAACTGAAATTGGTGCAAGGGATTGTACCTTGGATCAGAGGAAGTTACTCTTTTGATAAAAGTAATTTTGAGATCTTCTTTTAAAGCTATTAATTAATTTAACTTTGAATATTCATGCGATTAAAAAAATTTTTTTTAAGTGGTTTAAATAAGCTAAAAAAAATTGGATGAATCATATATGCAACTCCAAATATTTTATTATTGGAATATTAAAAATATTTATAGCTTTACTAAGAATAAAAAATGTTTTACATGTAGCGAATGCTACAAGTAAATGTGTATGCGCTAGCTGAACTGGGTGTGCAGTGCGCAAAATGAAAAACGGACCACAAGGAATAACTTTTAATCGAAGAATTGGATCTTCACGTTCTAGGACTCAATCTTAAAGGTTCAAGATGGCGACTTCAAATATACCAATTAAATAGTGAAAACTGTATTTTATTTTACGAAATCAGACGCATAAACGTACTTTTTCTGAAGACATGTATATTTTTTGCCCGATGAATTTGGGTTCTTGACCCCCAAAATATAGGGGGTTGTCGCACTCTGAGAAATATGGTCCCAAAAGTTTGGTCAGGACTGCGGTCCAAAGTTCAAACCCCTTAATGTTAATTTTATTTTTGCGTATTTCACCATATCTCAACTTTTTAAGTGCATTGAAAATTTTTTGCATACAATTATAAAATTAGTTTATCCAAAGATTCCATGCAAAAAATAACTTTAAATAAATATTTATTATTTTATTTAATATTAGTCGAAAATTTTTTGAATTACAAAGTATGAAATTTTTACATCATTTTAAAGAATGTAATTTTACTTAGTAAAATACAAAATGTGAGTAAAATTGGGTCGAATGGTTCCTCAGAAATCGATTTTTTTTAAGTGCGACTTTTTCAAAATTCGATTTCTCAGGAACTATTTGACCAATTTCGCTCATATTGGTGATCAAAATATCTTATTTTAACTTTTGAAAGTACCTAGTAGGTAATGTGCAGATTATCGAGGAAGTTTGCAGATAACTAAAAAATTTGCAGAGTAACTGTTTTCTACTCTTTTACGCTAACATATATATCGAATGTAAAATTACTCCACTGGTTGGCACTAATGTTTATATTGGTCCGAGGTACATGTGGTCTAATATATGTACTTACGGTCTCCCTGATATGTATGCGAAAAGGTTTATTAATTAATGGATGCTTAGTTTAAAGTTCTGATACTTTAACATTTTATATTTGCTATTCATAGTCGATATGATTTATAGTTTGAAGTACAGATAATTGTGATATGTGTCGAAATTTAAATTTCAACTCACTGCTTATCCACTTCTCCGGCGCAGGTGGTGAAGTTGCGCATGAAAAAGAAAATAAATTCAAGTCTTTTTTTTTTTTTAAATGTTTTTTCTTCAAAAAAATTTTAAAAAAAGTCATAGTTTTGTGTCGATGTTTAGTAATTCATAGATATTTTGACTTTAACATTTTATATTTGAAGTTCAAGGTTGATATGATTTATAGTTTGAAGAACAGATACGAGGGTTGCTATTTATATTTCTGTCCAAATAATGAAAAAACAAATATGTAGGATCGAAATTGGTTTTATTGTTTTTCAAAATATTCTCCATGATGATCAATACACTTTTGCATGCGTTTGAACCAATTTTCAAAGCACTTTTTCCAGTCCGATTGAGGTAACTCCAAAACATGCGTTTTGAATGCATCAACCGCTTCTTCGGGGGTCGAAAATCGTTGTCCACGTAATTTATTTTTGATGTGTGGGAATAAGAAGAAGTCATTGGGTGCCAAATCAGGGCTGTACGGCGGATGACCCATCAGTTCGATCTTTCGCTCCGTCAGAAATGCCTTTGTTTGAGTCGATGTGTGAGAGCTCGCATTGTCATGATGAAGAATGATTCGCCTGTTCTTCTGCTTTTTTCGAATTTCTCCGATGACTTCTGGCAAACAAATGGTCGTGTACCATTCAGAATTGACCGTCCTGCGTTGCTCTAACGCCACTGTTGCCACATGACCGTTAATGCCGAAGAAACAGGCAATCATTTGTTTCGATGTGCTTCTTCCTCGAACAACTTTTGTTGGTTTTGCCTCGTCTTGGAAGACCCATACAGTTGATTGCTGTTTTGTTTCCGGCTCATATGCATAGATCCATGATTCGTCACCTGTGTAGATGTTATACACAGCCTTTGATGTACCTTGAACGTATTTTTCCAACATTTCCTTGCACCAATCGACACGAGCCTTTTTTTGAGCGTTTGTCAGGTTATGCGGGATCCAACGCGAACAAATTTTTTATACGCTCAAATGTTCATGCAATATTTTATTGATGCTAGTCATACTAATGTCCAAAGACGCCTCTATCTCACGGTATGTCACATGACGATCTTGATTTATCAGTTCACGCACAGCATCGATCTTTTCTGGCACAACAACGGATTTTGGACCACGACCACGATTAAATTCGTTATACCAATTTTTTACAGTGCTGTAGGATGGCGCTTTATCGCTGAATAAAGAATTAAGTTCATCGAAGCACTCTTGTCTTGACAATCCACGTCGAAAGTTAAGAAAAATAATGGCACGAAAATGTTCACAATTCAATTCCATTTTTTGAAAGAGAAGAACTTTTCAATTTACTGTCAACAACACAAATGAAGCTATAATGGTAAATCGTCTGCTGAATTTATGTTTAAAAATACCAAACTTTCGATTAAAATCGTCTGCGGTCGCCTAGCAACATTTACTGTTGCCAAGGCCAGAAATATAAATAGCAACCCTCGTAATTGTGATATGTGTTGAAATTTAAATTTCAACTCACTGCTTATCCACTTCTCCGGCGCAGGTGGTGACGTTGCGCATGAAAAAGAAAATAAATTCAAGTCTTTTTTTTTAAATGTTTTTTCTTCAAAAAATTGAAAAAAAAGTCATAGTTTTGTGTCGATGTTTAATAATTTATAGATATTTTGACTTTAACATTTTATATTTGAAGTTCAAAGTTAATATGATTTATAGTTTGAAGAAGAGATGATGGAGATAGGTATAGAAATTTAAATTTAAACACAGTACTTATTCACTTTTCCAGTGTAGGCGATAAAGTAGAGCAGGAAAAGAGCAGTAAATTCCACTGTTTTTTTTTTTTTAATTTTTTCTTCGAAAAATTGAAAAAGTCAAAGTTTTCGTAATTAATAGATATCTTGACTTCAATTTTATTACTTCAACATTTTATATTTGCAATTCACAGTTTATATGATTTATTTGAAGAATAGATAATTGTGATATGTATGGAAATTTAAATTTTAACCCTGTACTTATCATTTCTCCGGCACTGGCGATAAAGTAGCTTTTGAAATAAAAGTTGATTAAACTGTTTTATTTAATTACTAAAAATTAATGTGTAAAAAGTTGAATTAGCTGAAGTTACTTGAGTCAGCAAAATGACTAAGTACCTTTAACTCCAATATTCTTTTATAGTTTTCATATAGGAAGTTTACAATTGTGAACATAGATTGCGTGATTCCAAATAATTTGCTTTCATATTTTTCAGCAAATATGGAAAAATTTTAGACTTCCTAAGATGTTTCATGTTCTTCTTGGTTGACAGAATAATATATCAGGAATTCAAGACATTCGGATTTGCTATGTTACACTTATATTGCAGTCGAATTATTTTCAATCTGTCCATAGCGATGTGGATCTCTTTGTATCTGGTTGATTGTCTACGGAAGGTTTACAAAGAAATTTTATTAAAAAAAAAGTCTATACTTTTGCAAGTCCAATTGTAAATACTACCCGTAACATGGTTGTATTATAAAGTCACGTTTATTGCAGTTGTTTATTTTTTACACAAATTATATTTATTGTATTTTCTGCATGTAAGTATTTTATCGAATAAAAATGTTAACAAATTTAATCATTCTACGTTATAAACGAGGTTATAAACTGTTGCCAATTAAATCTATAGTAACTATTAATAATTATTAAATGATTAATTTATTAATTAATAAGTAATTTTTTTATGTTAGATTGGTAATTACTTTCATTTTTCATTTCTTGTCTTGGGTTCAGCTAATATAGACATTATTTGCTTATGTATACTACTTGTATTATAGTTTTCATTCTGAAATTACGGTAAAATAACTGGCAGCAGTCTTCTGATTAACTATGAAGTTTATGGTTTGGAACAATTCTTACATTTACGGTTTTGAAACTGTTTACAACTGGTACTGTTTAAATACCGTAAATACGAAACTACACGGCTTTGTAACCGTTTACAACTAGTATAGTTTTCAAGCGGTAGAAACGAAACTTAAATGAACATAAAAGTTCTGAGCGTCTTTTATGTATGAATGATAATGTCGCATTCTAATAATCCAGGGTCACAGATTGAAGAAACTGGAAAATCTTCAAGTGATGAAGAATGGAAGAAATATTGTGGTATCAAGGTTGGTACTTGATACTCTGTTCAACCGGTAATGCGATTGAATCAATAAATGATTTTTCTCATACTTAATAGTTTGAATAACATCATTGCTCATCAATCTCTTTGCTTACATATATTAAATACAATCGATTGATAAAAATTCAATAAATAGTTATTTAATTATATTCAAATGATTATAAAATAGATAAATGTTTTTTGGTAGGAACAAAATTGCATTGTCTCATAAAGTAGTGGATAAGTATGTTAGCTAAGTTAAAGTTAATAAAATTAATGTACTTTACTGTTAAACATACCATATGGTTTAATGATGAAATGAAAGTTGACATTTAAGTCCATATTAAGTTAAAAATGATTTAAATATAAACATCAATTTAAATATTTGAAGTAGATGACTTGAAAGTTTTTGAATATTAAGTTTTCTAAGCTTCTTCACACTTCACGGGTAAAAATGGAAGACGTAAGCACCAGAGAACTACACTTTAACAAACTACGACCGTATGTAGTGAGAGTTGGTCAAGTTGGTTTGATTTTTTGCCAAGATCAAGAACTTGGAGAGACTTGCATTATGCACCCATATGCCCCCGATAGAAGTAAGTGAAGATGATATAAGAAAACGTGTACTTAAAAATTCTGTAAATATAAATTATTCGCAAAAAAAGAAGATAGTTAACACATTGCAAGATTTTGCAGATGTTTTTCGATCCATCCCGGAATTAGCAAATGTGAATGGACATTCAGTGTCTTTAACTCAAGATTTCATTCCAAAGAAATGAAACCAACCGCCAGGGTGTAGATCATGGACACTACGTAAATCATCGTCCCTGGCACATCCCGTAGTCTGGGGTACCCAGGCATCTCGGACACAGAAACCACACTATTATGCAGTTTTAAGGATTTATCCCTTAGAGCCGCTATGTGCTCTGGCCAATTAAGGTGGGGACATTTGCAAGGATAGTTTGGCTGGTAGTGCACTGGTCCTATGTCAAAGAGCGAGTGGGTTCGATCCCCACTGGCCAAAGACTCCCGTGTAATAAATGGTGACTGATGCATGTTAAATCTGTCTAGTCACAAAGTCGTCCATGTTCCTGTAACAAATCATACCTCTGAGGGTTAATGATCCAGGAGCTTCCTTGTCTTCTGGATTGGTTCAAAATTACACGGCTACGAAGTTGAACATTAGCAGTCGTAAACCCAAAAACTGGGTCTGTTGTTCAACGACGGATATAAAATGAAGTAAAAGGGAATTGATGAACATGGAAAAGAAATGCCAATCCCATTCTTTAGCAACCAATTATCGGAAATGGTCCACTATTGAACGAGAGGCCTTCTCAGTGTTGGAACCGTTGAAACGTTTCGATACGTGGATTTTTAATTCACAAATTGTAGTCATTTCCGATCATGACTCACTCACATATTTGACACGCAGGGCCCTACATAGTGCAAAGCTTACAAGGTGGTCACTAGCACTCCAAAGAAGTAAAGTTAAAATTACACATAGGAAAGGTAGTACGCATGACATAACAAATGCCTGGTCAGGATTACCTCTCTTATGAAATAATATAAGCAATTCATTTAATTTCTTTGTTTAAATGCTTATAATGTTATCTTTAAATGTTGAAATCTGTTTGGAAATTTTACAATTTTGCTTAGTGCTTTCGGAGTAAATATTCCACTGGGCTCTTACTTTTTATGTGTCAATAGTTATCAATGATTTTTTTTCAGCGTATATTTTTGTTGGTTTGATTGTTTTTTCTTTGTAGCATTTTTAGTTAGACGCATCGTTTTCTCCCGAAAACAGATGCTTCTCCAAATGAAGCAGGAGTGAGATTCGGAGCTATGAAAAGGGAAAAATACAAACTTGTTAGGGAGAACGAGTAGACTTTTCCTCCGAAAGAGAAAAGCAAACAAAGGCTGTTTTACTTTCTTTTTAGATAGATAGAGTAGTACCTTACTCGCATCTAAATGTCATGATGTTTACTTTTGTACTTGTTTTGCCAATTACACTTTTTGTGTATTAAAAGGTATCTTCAGTGATCCATTTAAAGCGTAAACACAACGAAATCTTTATTGTTTTCTTGACGTATTTTACGCATGCTATAAACTAAAAACAAAGTAGTCCACATTACTAATGTTGCTGAAAAAAATGCTCTACTGAGATACAAGGTGAGCAAAACCAATCCATAATTTTTGATTTCCGGATATATTATCCTATCTACTAGAAAGTAGATGACGCATCTCAGGAATTCACAAGGTGGTCCATATCGACTGTAAAAAAAAGAAGTATAATGCAAAATAAACAGTTGTGAATGAAAGAGCAAACTTAATAATGTAATAAAATGTGAAGAAAAAAATAATTTATACTTTTGATTGCAAAAAAAAGGTGTCATAATGTAAATAAAAAAGATATTCAAGGAAAAAAGATATTCAAGGAAAAAAGATATTCAAGGAAGTAAAGAGTATTAATAATGCCCAAAAGGCTATCACAATAATATTCATACATGCATAAGCTTAAATAAGTGTTAATAGCATTTATTTCCCATCGTATTAGCTATGCATTAAAACCACTTCATCACTGAAAGGACAAACATAAGTAAAAAATTCGGCCCGTTTTTACTTTAAATTACTGAAAAAGACAGCTTTAATTCTCTCAATTACTTTAAAAATATTAATTTTGGAAAATAACGCTTTCATGTAGATAAGATTTAAGTACAAAGTAAAAATTTCATACATTATGCATCGATTTTTTGGGGGAATTCTTACTTTGCTGAAACTTAAAAATTAATATCGTTGCATGCATCTCCCAACCACAAATTGCCTTAACATGAGACCAATTTTTCAGTGCTTTATTTTTTTTAGTTGCCATGGCAGAAATGTCGCGTAATTTTGACCTTAAGTCAGATGATGTGGACAGCAGAACTGCTCTACAAATTCCCTTTCTAGAACCGTGATGGCTTAGGGGATACGGCTTTCGCCCTCCAATAAGGTGAATCGATACGAATGCGTATCCGATTCACTTCATTGATACAAATACGCTTCTAGCTTGAATCGAGCTCAGTGCTGACGTGAAATATGTACTCAGTGGTTAACAGATCATGGGTTAGAGTCCCTTTGTCGTCAGGCTAACCATGGGAAGTTTTCGTAGTTTTCAAATACATATAATAACTTTAATGTATACATAGTCAAATACTACATATAAAATTCAGATATATAGGCGCAAAAGTATTTAAAATGTATGTTTATTTGGAGAAAGTACATTTTCATAATAAACTTCGTAACTTTAATAATCGTAATTAAATAACATTCCTTTATTAAAGTTTTTTTTTCTCTTTTTCCTTCATGTTAGAATATATGCATTACGAAATAAAGCATATTAAAATGTTAGCATGTTTTGAACAAAACAAAATTAATAATAAAGAATACTTGCCTTTTATCAAGCACAAATCCCAATGATATACTCGTATAGCATATAAAGCATGCAATTGGATTAATAATCGTCTTTGGTATGATCTAAAAAAAAAAAGAATTTTGCAATTAGTCTCACTAACATTGCACTTTGCTTTTATTCTTCAAAATTATTCCTTTTTTCGACATTTCAAAACAGAAAAACAATTTATTAAAGTGACTAGTCATCTTTCGACATAATTTAAACTTAATTTGAGTTGCTTGCTTTTAATGAGTTTAGAAAGAATATATATATATATATATACATATAAGTTATTTTTATTAGTAATTTATTTAAAAATAATTAAATTCTAAGTTGTGAAGTGCACAAATCATGTTATTTTAAAGTAATTTAAAATGGAAAAAAAATCGTGAAATCCGCGAAACAGCTTTTGAGAAATCCAATTTTTAAAAATGTTTAGTTGAATTTTATTTCGCGATAATTTCTCAACCGATTGCATTTAAATTTTGTATTTCACCATTTCAAATTTACTTTAAAATATGTAAAAATTTGCATACCCCTGCATTTCAAATATTTTTAAACTGCTATTAATTAATGTAATAAAAAATAATTAAATTTATTCTTTATGTGTATCTATTTTCGGATAAAGCAGTTTTATATTTATGTGCAATATGTTTAAAATATTTTCGAGATTTAATGAGTTATGCTAAGAAGTGAATTTATATTTATGAGTCTTAAATTTTGATCGCTCCCCCGCGAAATTATTAGGAGCAGAGTACGACTACACCATATTTTGGACGTCAAAAATTCAAATTTGTTTAAAAAAATACCTCTGCTCTACTTAAAAATACTACGTTAGGTATGAAAGTATACGTTTTCGCACCTGATTTTGTAATTTAAAATATCGGGTTCTCTATATAATCAGCTTATTTAAAGGTAGGCTTTCGAACTATTAAGATTGAATCTTTGAAGGCGAATAACCGATCATTAAATCAAGAGTTATTAAAGGAGTTCATTTTTTTGTGCACTGCTCACAGTATAGAGGTGCCTGTGATAATGATGTTATTTTAAATAACCCAGTCAGAATTATGAACGCCTCTGTAGTACTAAAGAAAAAGGTTTTAATTCATATTAAAAACCTTTCATTAATATGAATCTGATCTATATGAATCCTTTGATTAATATGAATCTGATTAATATATATCCCACGATCAATACGAATCCTTTGATTAATATGAATCCCTTCATTAATATTACAACAAATCTAGATATTTTAGTTTCAATATCTTATGAAATTATTACCGATTCAAAAACAACGGTATTTTTATATTTATCATAAATTATTTATTTTTCGTGTATATCTTTAAGTGGAAATTTAATATTATATTTGAT